CTCACATTCAAGACACAACAGATTATCTTCGTAAAATGGAATCCATGAACCCTCTTCCTCCGGAAACCCTCCTTGTCACTTTAGATGTCACCTCATTGTATACCAACATACCTCATGATGACGGAATACAATCGTGTAAGGAAATATGGGACTCTCGCAACACCTTAGAACCACCTACCGAATGTTTAGTCCAGCTGCTCACTCTGGTTCTGAAATGCAACAATTTCACCTTTAATGGTGAAAATTACCTTCAGATAAACGGGACAGCGATGGGGACGAAAATGGCACCGTCGTACGCCAATATTTTCATGGGAAAATTAGAGAAACAAATTATTTCAACATCTTTATCCAAACCTCTGTCTTGGTTCCGTTTCAACGATGATGTTGACATGAAATGGATTGAATCCCAACAAAAATTGGATGATTTTATCAGACATGCAAACAACGCACACCAGTCAATTAAATTTACATATGAAATTTCCGACTCCAAAATATCTTTCTTAGACACTACTACATCTATTAAGGACGGTGTCATATCAACAGATCTCTACTGTAAACCTACAGATAAACATCAGTACCTTTCTCCCCAAAGCTGTCACCCCAAACACTGTACAAAAAGTATCCCGTACAGTCAAGCTCTCAGAGTAAAGCGGATTTGCTCTGAGGAGGCTGTCACTAAAAGGTTACAGGAACTTCGCCGTTTTTTGACCAAACGAGGTTATAAGAAATTAGACATAGATAAGGGATTTGCGCGTGCTAATAACAACAGCCGCAATGACCTATTACAGTACAAACAGAAGAGGCGCAACAAAATAGTTCCGTTTGTTTTAACATACAATCCCGCCTTCACTAACCTTTCACGTTTGATCCGTGCCAATTGGCAAACTATTGCCAATCACCCAAAATTATCCAAGATCTTTCCCAATCCTCCTGTCTTAGCTTTTCGGAGACCAGCAAGTCTGAAAGACTTATTTGTGAGAGCTGACGTCTCCTCTAATAAAAGCTGTTCAACTGCAGGATGGTGCAAGTCGTGTGGTAACAGACGATGTCTGACTTGCCAACAAATACTGAATACTCAAACATTTACTTGCCACTCCACAGGGTCTGTGTACACTATATTTTGTAATGTAACTTGCAAAACACAGAATGTTGTATACCTTCTTCAGTGTCGATGTGGCATGCAGTATATTGGCGAGACAAAACAGCCTTTCAACAAACGCATGAATGGTCAACGAAGTGACTACACCTGCAAGCCCGACCTTCCCGTAAGTCGTCATTTGAGATCACCTGGGCACGCCCAAGCTGATCTCAAAAACCTTACAATCACAATCATAGACCACAACGAGGGTTGGTCAAGGGCCGAAAGATTGCTCGGGAAAGGTTTTGGATAAGAAAGCTAAGGACAGTTTCCCCAGAGGGCATAAATGAAAAAACATAGAATGAGTCACTCATTTTCCCTACCATCACTCATTTTCCCTACCATCACTCATTTTCCTGACATCATTTGTTTCCAGTTACTCCGGCTTCCTTACTTGACTCTTACAGTTTTAAGGATTCTTTTGGAATTTTTGGAATTTTACTAGTTTAAATACCAGGGTTCTTTTCATTTGGTAGGGATATACAAGTACGCATCCACGTCCAACTTTTAACCTTAGCCCAAATTTACTATTATTTTTTCTTTTCATTATAAAACTGCTATTTATTTGGAATGATAAATACGCAGCCTCTGTTTGTCATATTTTACCAGCTTATATCGATCAGTGCTGTTCTTTTGGGAATGTATTTACACGCAGTTGTTGTAACATCTTAACTGACGTCATTTTGGAATTTTAAAGTTGTGCCAGTTCATATCTATAATTACTATTTTCATTTTAGGCATGTCTTTGAGTCGTTTTTTGGAAATTAAAAAAAATTATTAGCGTGAAACTGTTTCACTTTTTTTATTGTATAGAATTCAAGATTGCTATAGTTTAATAATCAGAATAGATGTATCTGATTCATTTTACATCGTGCTCATATTGATGAAGGATGTCTGTTATCCGAAATATTTATAGTTACATTTGTTCGTTTATTGTCATTTTTTGGTGATGTTGTACCCTTTTAGACTGGTTATATATTATATTTTGTAGTGTACTGTATCATTTATATGATCCATCGCCCCGTAAGATTTATCGTTGGCTATTATTCAGTCATTTTATATATATATATATATATATCATGTTATGGGAGGTATTACAGGTCTTGGGAGCTCGAATTTATATTGATTTTACCAGGAGCTGACCCTTTATGCTGATATGTTATCCCTCAATGTCGCTCGTGGTAAAATATTCAGCATAAAGGCATAACCCGTGGTAAATCACGCCGATAAATTAAAGCCCCCCCCCCATGTTTAGACTGGTTATATATTATATTTTGTAGTGTACTGTATCATTTATATGATCCATTGCCCCGTAAGATTTATCGTTGGCTATTATTCAGTCATTTTATATATATATATATATATATATCATGTTATGGAGGGGTATTACCAGTCTTGGGAGCTCGAATTTATATTGATTTTACCAGGAGCTGACCCTTTATGCTGATATGTTATCCCTCAATGTCGCTCGTGGTAAAATATTCAGCATAAAGGCATAACCCGTGGTAAAATCACGCCGATAGATTAATTGCTATAATGTATTTTCTATTTTTTGGGAGGGATCGGGGGAGGTGGGAGCTAGCACAATCGTTATTTTTTCCTTCTTGTTCTGACGAACTTATATTTAGCAAATATTTTGAGCTAACTCCTTCTTCTGGTGGTATTATATTTTGACCTCGTCGTACATCCCGAAATTCCTATGTCGAAAGAAATTCAATGTAATGGTCATTGGTACACAAACATTGAAGCGTTTACATCTAAGTCCTGTGACAGCCTTGACTGAGATAACATAAATATGTCATATTTGAAAAAGAATTTAAAAAGCAAAATAAAGGGGTATCAAATAAAGGATCCCTCAAACAGGTCTAACGTGTTATTCTTCAAGTGCACGTACCTTTCGTGAAATTGTAAAAAGGCACTACTAAATGTAACAGACGTAACAGATTTAAGTATTTCAATGCTCAGCGGCTTTTATACTTCGGTAAATTGACTACCCGCAAAAATAATAGTTTTTGGTGGGATTCGTTGCTCCGTCTTTAGTTCTGTAGACAGTTAATAGTCTTTTGTCGTTTTTGTCCCCGAGAACGCGTTGAAGGGGACATAGAAATACCGGGCGTCTGTCTGTCCGTCCGTCCGTCAGTGCGTCTGTCCGTCCGTCCGGTCTTTTTAGCGCTCTCACGTGTACAGTTCTTGCCAGTTTTTTTATGAAACTTATTTAATATGTTTATTTCAGCAATATCTTGGAAAAGTTCGAAAATCAGTGCCCATCAATTATTTTTGAAAGAGTTATGCCCCTTTGAAACATTAATTATAAGGAAAATTGCATTGTTTACGCTCTCATATGTACATTTCTTTCCAGAATTTTATAACACTTATATCATAGGTTTATAATATCAGCAATGTATTTGACGAGTTTGAAAATCCGTGCAGATCAATTATTTTAAAAAGAGTTATGCCTCTTGGAAATATTAATTATATGGAAAATTGCATAATGAGCGCTCTAATGTGTATAATTCTTGCCAAATTTTTATGAAATTGATATAATAGGTTTATATTATAAAATGTTTTTGATGAGTTCGAAAATAAGTGCCGATCAATTATTTTAAAAAGAGTTATGCCCCTTGGACATATTGATTATATGGAACATTGCATTGTTAGCACTCTCATGTGTACAATTCTTGCCTGATTTTTATGAAATTTATATTACTGGTTTATATCATCAATGTCTCAGACAAATTTAAAAATCAGTGCTGATCAATTATTTTTAAAAGAGTTATGTCCCTTGGATATATTGACTATTCAAAATTGCGTTGTCAGTGCTCTCATGTGTACAATTCTGTCAGAATTTTTTGAAACTTATATCATAGGTTTATATCTCAGTAATGTCTTTGACACTTCCGAAAATCAGTGCTGATCGAATATTTTTAAACGAGTTATGACCCTTGGAAAAATTAATTTAAACGGAAATTGCATTGCATTTGCTCTGAAGCCTTTATTTCTCTTAAGATATTTGTAAATTGTTTTAATATTTAGTAATTGCCCTTGTACCTTGGATAGATAAAATATGTGCAACGCGGGGGACATTGGAACTCGGTTCTTTTATTTGTTTTGATACGCCCGTTTACGGAACGTGTATGTATTATGACATACCGTTGCTCGTCCGTCCGTCTGTCGTCAACATGTCAGACAGTAACTGAAAAACGCTTTCACCAATTTTCACGAAACTTTGGTGAATTGTTTATATGTATTGACGTAAGCTCCCTTTTGATTAATATAAATTTTAGATTTTATGTTTCTGAGATGGGGTTTTATTCATAAAAAATGCAGGATTTTTCCAGTTTTCTTACTATAACTCAAAAATTCTATGAGTTTGAACTATTTCCATGAACCTTTGGTGAATTGTTTATATATATTTACACAAGTTCCTTTTTGATTTTAAAACATTTCTGATTTAACGTTTCGGAGTATTTGAACTTTATCATAAAAAAAAGGAGGATTTTCAGGTAAAAAACCGCTTTTGGCACTTATCATGAATCTTTGGTGACTTGTTTACATCTATTGAAATAAGCTCCTTTTTTTTTTTTTTTTTGTATAAATTTCTGATATGACATTGCAGAGATATGGAACTTTATAGTTGAAAAATTGTAAAAAAAATGTCCAGTTGGTGGCGGGCGTATCATGCGCTTATAGCGCAGCTCTTTATTTACCATGGCGTTGTCAGTTTGCCTTCAATTGATGAGTTTGAATATCACTTTGGTATCTTTCGTCCCTCTATAAATAACTATAGAGAGAAACAATAGTACAAAATGCGCTTGTTTTATAATACATCTTTATGATATATTGATTTCTGGAATATATTTAGGTTACAGATAAGTAATACAGCAGATGGCATGGTTGATAGAAAATCAAATGGAGATAACACAGCACTCGAAATAGAATAATGTAAAGGTGAAGATGAAATTACAGATATTCGAGCTTTGAAGGAAAATCCATTGTTTTCACCTTTCTTCAATCATCTGGAAATGGCACATACAGAAATAGTTAAACAAGCTAGAGATTCCTTACGGATATTTAATGACGAAAGAAAGTGTCCAGTAAGTATGTTTCTACAATACCCAAACTCGCCAACAGCGGTAAATTTTGGTAGAGCTTTCTTTCATTTTACTTCAGCTTCACAAATATTTGGAGGTTACAAAAAGGATAAGATAGAAGATATGGGAGACTGTGATGCTCTTTCTCCAGCTTTTGAAAATATCTTTAAAGGTTACCTGCTTGAAAACAGTATGTTTGACCCATTCAGACCACCAGAAAAGACATCTGTTCTCGTTGACCAGTATCTAAAATTCAGACCTCAGGATATTTGTGCGGAGTACGTCAAAATTCTCATTCTCATGAGAGGGTCATGCAATCCGAATAAAGGAGGAAATACACTTTTGTCTGATTTTGAATCAGGGAAACTACGCATAAAAACGTCAGAAAAATTTGCGTCAAAACTCAGTTCAAACTTAGATGCTCATCCATTCAAACGACAAGTTCTAACCAACGTATATTATTTTCTTGGTGCAATCTACGTTTCTACAAATCAGCCTGAGCGAGCGCTTGATTCCTTCAAGAAATGTTACGATTTAGACAACACACATTTTAGTTATATCTATGGAATCGCATACCATTATATAACAAGTAATCCAACAAAGGCTATCAAATTGTTTTTGAAATATATTAGTATGGCCCCGGAGTGTGATAAGCAGTATCCAAACGCTTATTATATGATTGCATCTGCATTTTGCATGCAAGGAAATTTAGAAGAAGGATTTCGGTACTGTTCTTTGGCAGAAGATGCGGAGAAAATACGTTTACCATTCCTTTCTCCTGTTTCCGTTTCACAGAAACACATGATGCACACTTTAAAACAAATGCTTGCACAGAGGGAATTATTGGAAAACCAAAAATCGATCGAATGATAATTGTCTGTAAATACATGAACTTGTATGTACATTATATTATCATAAGTTAAAAAAAACCCAAACATGTTATGTAGGAGAGTATAAAAAGTAAATTAGAAACTTACGAGATGAAATCTGTTGACTATTACTTATACATGTATATATATATCCCTTAACTAGCTTTCAGCGCGGTTAATGTTTTCTTTAGATGTGACAATATGATGGGCTTAAAAAATATATATATATATATATTTATATTTATATTTATGATTATATATTCTCAAAATGTTTATTAAATTGAATAAAATAAATACAGGGGAATATCTATTGAGAAAATCATGACCTTGGGAAAGGTTGTTTTAATTGACCACTACGTTGCATATAACTTTAAAAACATGTTTACATGCAGACCAGATGGTGACATGTTGTAATAACAATTAGTTAAAAGACTGGACATACGTGTATTCTACAACTATCAATTTCCAGCTTGGTCAAAACATGTCAATTAGAGTCAACTTAATAGATATTCATCCATGTACCTTTAGAATTAAAACTATTATTGTCAAATTAATAGAAACTTTGACAAACTGTTATATTCTATTAATTTTGTATATATACTTATGTATTTACTGTATGGGACACATCGGCTCATTTGGCGTAAATAAACTGTTAACTAACTATCTTGTTGTGTTACACAGTCTTTGTGGTGTACCGTGCCAGGACGAATTCTAAAGAAAGGTACAGTGAAATTTTATTTGATAATCTTAATTATTATATTCTCAAAAATGGCTGAACAAGAATTTAATGTAGGGTTAGTTTTTCAAAATTTAGCAACACAAGTTCAAAGTCTTACTCAAAAATTAACTGCAAACGGTGTCAATTCGATAGTTGAAGGCTTTGATGGTTCAAATTCAGAAAAATATTCTCAATGGATTCGATCCATAGAAAAATATGCAATGATTACCAATTTAAATCCGAACGATTGTAAAATGGTATGTTATCAAACTTCTGTAGGGCCAGTAAGTGATTTCATTGCTAGGTGGTTAAGAGAAACAGATGCCGGAAATAACAGTTGGGATAATCTAAAAACTCAATTGAATTTTCGTTATGGGCATATTCCTGATGCATCATATGCATTTGAACTTCTGAATAAGGTTCATCAGAAAGTTGGCGAAAATGTTCCCATATTTGGAGAACGAATTTTAACTTTAGCAACAGATGCTTTTAGAGGGCAAGATATCAATCAACCAATTGTTCAACTTCAATTAGTTAACTTTTTCATAAACGGGTTGTATCAAGATTATTTGAGAATGAAAATAATGCGTGAAAATCCACAAACTTTGGCTCAAGCAGTAAACTCAGCAATGGCTGAAACGCAATTAAGACGAAAATTTGACTTGAAAAAAAGTAACGGTAATGAGCGTAATATTACACCAATGGACGTATCACATTACCGAGAAATAGGTGTAAAATGTAACTATTGTAAGCGATTTGGCCATAAGGCAAAATATTGTACGGATAATAATGCAAAATTTCATGTAAACACAGTAAGTTCGCGTGCCGAATTACATGTGCCCCGAAGGAATTTTAATGACAACACGCTAAGTAATAATGTAAATTCATATCCTCCTAGAAGGTTTAATTCTGTCCAAAATAAACCTAATTTTACAGGACAATCAAGAGGAACATTCTTCTGTTGGAATTGTGGTAAACCAGGTCATTATCAAAGAAATTGTAGAGCAAGACCAAATGAACAATTCGGGAAACCAAGGGAAAATTTAAACTAAGACGGTCTCTTTATGCTGAAGCCAATAGGGAGACTTTTAAGGGAATAAGGGGAAATAAGATGTTTGAGAGAAAAATTAATTATGGAAATACAAAACCTGTATATAATATATATGAATCATGGTTAAAAAAAATTAAATAACAAATCAACAAACTTTAATAATGCATGTTCTAACAATTTTACCTATCACTGGAATCAAAGTTATTATAAACATTCTAACGATCGTAATTCAAAACTGGAAGTAAACAAAATAAAAATGGCGCGAAATTTTAATTCAAAACCGGAAGTAAACAAAGTATATATGGCGCGAAATTTTAATTCAAAACCGAAAGTAAACAAAGTAAAAATGGCGCGAAATTTTAATTCAAAACCGGAAGTAAACGAAGTACAAATGGCGCGAAATTCAAAATTTAACAGAAATAAAGTAGTTAGAGCGCGAAATTCAAACATACAAAATAGAAACATTGAACCTTATCATGAACAAATACCTTTGGGTAACATAACCGAAAACATAACTCAAAGTGAAACTGATCAAGTCGAAACTTATGAAATTAATTTGGCGGGAAATCCAAATTCTTGTTTGATTAAAATAGCACATATGAAAGTTAGAAGTTTAATTGACAGCGGAGCTTCAGTATCTTTATTGCATAATAAAATTTACAATTCAATTAAAGGATTACCAAAATTAGAAAAAAGAAAAGTCAATTTACAAGGAGTTAACGGGGCTTCTTTAAATGTTTTGGGAAGTATAAATTTAGACTTTAACATGAAAGGAAACAAAATGAATCATACCTTTTATGTGGTATCTGACATGAACAGAAATGCAATTTTGGGCCGTGATTGGTTAGTTAAATTTGGTGTTAGAGTTTATTTTGATTTGGGGTGTTTAAGGGTAAATAAAACTTATGTACCATTAGTAGAAGATATTCACATAGCTTCAATTGTTAGACTTGCTCGTACCACTGTCTTTAAACCTCAGACTAGCAATATCTGTTATGTAAAAGGTAATAAAAATTATACCTTTTCAAGTTCTAAATCTTTTGAAATTTCACCAATTACTAAGGGGCATTTGAGTTCTCAACCAGGTTTAATGGTTGCTAATTCAGTTGCAAAAGTTAATGAAAAACGTCAAATGCCAGTTCTTATAGTTAATACTACGAATAGAACTTATAAATTTAGAAGGGGCATAGCAATAGGCAGGGCTTCACCGGTTTTAAAAGAAAATGTTGTCTCACTTGAATCTACTCAAGAACACTCTGAAATTGAGAATGTTTTTGAAACTGATCTTAATGTTCCTGATGCTTATAAGGGTAGGGTGTTACAAATATTGAACAATAATAGAGATGTTTTTGCTTTTAAGGATACTGAATTAGGTCAAACTGACACTGTAAAAATGAGGATTGACACGGGTGATAATCCCCCGGTTAAATTGAAACCATATAGAACTCCATTACATAAAAGGGAAATAGTCAATAAGGCAATAACTGACATGTTAGAAGCAAACATTATTCGAAGGTCTAACAGTAATTATTCGTCACCAGTAGTATTAGTGGATAAAAAGGATAAAACCACACGTTTCTGCATTGATTTCAGAAATTTAAACTCTAATACATTAGCGATCCGATATCCGTTACCGGTTATCGACGATATATTGACCCTTTTAGGGGCTGCAAAGTTCTACAGCCTAATTGATCTTCGCAGTGGATTTTGGCAAGTCCAGATGGCAGACGAAGATAAATCAAAAACAGCATTTGTTTGTCATCGATGATTGTTTGAATTTAATGTTATGCCATTTGAGTTACAAAATAGTCCTGCTGTATTTAGTCAATTGATGGAGATAGTCTTACAAGACCTAAAATTTGCTATCTCGTATATAGATGGTATTTTGATATTTTCTGAAACTCTAGAAGAACATTTTGATCATATTCAGCAAGTATTTGACAGATTAAGGCAACATAATTTGAAGTTGAAATTAAAGAAATGTCAATTTTTACAGAAAGAAACCAATTATTTAGGATTTAAAATCAATATCGACGGTGTAAAACCGGACGATGGCAAAGTCGAAGCAATAAAAACTTTACCAAACCCTGTTACTGTTAAGGAAGTAAGAAGTTTTATAGGGGCGTGTTCATACTATAGACGATTTATTCCAAATTTTTCAAAAATCTCTATACCTTTAGTTGCTCTAACAAAAAAGTATGCTAAGTTTCAATGGGATGAGGAATGTCAAAAAGCTTTTGATTTTTTAAAATATAGTTTAACTGTGACTCCTTTATTAGCATACCCAGACTTGAAGAAACCTTATGTTTTATAAACTGATGCGTCTAATGATACCATAGGTGCATGTCTTACGCAACCTTGCGAGGAGGAAGAAACTCATTTACCATGTTTGAGAAAAGAAAAACCTATCTATTTTTTATCTCATAAATTGTCTGATACACAGTCTAGATGGTCTACTATCGAAAAAGAAGCATTTAGCATTCATTATGCATTACAGAAATTAGATCATTATCTTCATGGGGCTGAATTTATTATCAGAACTGACCACAAACCTTTAAAGTACCTTTTGCTCTCGCCACAATGTAACAAGAAATTACAGCTTTGGGCTTTAGGTATTGCAAGTTATAATTGCAAGATTGAATGGCTTGCGGGCACTGATAACACTATTGCTGACTATCTTTCAAGAAGACCTCCGGGTCAAGAAAACAATCAAAACCAAAATGAAACAATTGAAGTAGATATAAGTGACAAGGCTTTTCAGATCAATACTTTGAACTCAAATCAGTTCAATCCAAAAGATTTTGCAAGTTGTGACTATAAGGAAGATGACCAATTAAGCGTTAAGGAATGCACGATTTCTGGTTATGACATGAAAATTGAACAATCTTTAGACATAGAACTTTCGGAAATTATTAATCAAATTAACACAGGTAAAGCTTCAAGGAGTGTTGATAATAAACATATTATTATCAATGATATACTTTATTACATTTCTCACCCCGATGATGATTTAAAATTAAGGCTTTACATTCCATTACAATTAAGAAATGAGGTCATTAAAAGTTATCATGACAACCTAAGTCATTTAGGCATCGACAAATGTCACGATTCAATTAGGCAAAAATATTTTTGGCCAAAGTTATATAAAGAACTAAATTCATATATTAATTCCTGTGTTATCTGTCAATCTCAAAGTACAGGTAAAACAAAACCTTTATTACAAATATCTGATGTACCACCATTTCCATTTGCTAAGATAGGGGTAGATCTATCTGGACCTTATCCTACATCATTGTCAGGAAATAAGTATATTGTGAGCTTTGTTTGTCATTACAGCGGGTGGCCTTTGGCTTTTCCTGTTCCAAATAAAACTTCGGAAAATGTTGTTCATTTATTAATTGAAGAAATAATTCCAAACTTTTCTGTGCCTTTGGTTATAGTGTCAGACAATGGCGGTGAATTCACCTCCAAAATATTTGAAGAAACTTTAAAAGAATTGAATATAAGTCACATAACAACTTCTTTTTATCATCCACAGGGAAACGCGAAAGTAGAAAGATTTCACAGGACGCTTCATGACGTCATGGCAAAGAAATTGCAAAGTGACGCGTCTACTTGGGACGTATGCTTAAATCAAACAATAGCAGCTATTAGGTTTCAAAAAAATGAATCAACAAAATTTTCTCCATTTTTTCTTTTATACAATAGAGATCCTGTTCTTCCAATTGATAATCTGTTCAAACCTAGAAGGAAATATGAAGGTGAAGATCCGCACAAAATATTGTTAGAACAACAACATAAATCTTTCGTTTTAGTTCATAGAAATTTGAAGAAATCTAAAGAAAAACAAAAACAAAACGCAGATAAAAATAGACAAGAAATAAATTTAGAAATTGGTGATCCAGTATATTTCAAAAATCAGTTAAGAAAAAGTAAATTAGACACTAAATGGAAACCTTATTACAGAATAATTGAGAAAACTTCTCCGGTAACTTTTGTCCTTAAAAACCAATTAGATGGGTCTGTCGCTAGAAAAGTCCATTTAGAACACCTTAAAAAAGCTAAGATTGATGAATGGGTTATTCCAACAAATATAGAAGGTAGGCAATTAAGGAAAACAAATTATGTTGTACCTCCCGAGGACAGTGACGGTAGTGAAAGTGAACTTCCGGACGCTAATCCTCGAGAAAGACTCATAAATCGTTACCGACAAGAACGAGAAACATCGTCCGACGAGGACAATATTCCGCTCGCTGAATTAAAACAGAAAATAGCAATCAGAAACCGACGCGAAAAGAAGGATGAAAAGTCTTCCGTAACTTCCGGTTCCGGTTATAGAATGTCAGATAATAATAGTTCCGATGGGTATAATTCAGAAAGCAGTCAAAAAATGTCTGTTGATGAAATTAGAATACCGAAGAAAACTAAACGAATTGTTAAAAAGTCTGAAAAGAAAGACGAATTAATTTTAAGTTTTCTCTCAAACATTTCTTGTTATCTTAATAAAATGCACGACTAACACGACGTAGACGTAGGCTTCGTGATGATTGTTTTTAAATAAATATATGTGTATATAAAATAATTTTGTTTTGATTAATCATTCTAATTCTCGCTTCAGATGGATCGCTGAATAAATGTTGATTGTTTAGAAATCCTATTAATATCAGTAATCTCTGAATTACAGCTTTGTTTATGAAAAAGGAAGGAAAGTTTTGGTTGAATGTCAAACCTTATTCAAACCATTTTCAGTCCTTCCGAGAGAAAAAAATATTTCTTATTTTTTTTCCATAAAACTTTAGAGGTTTTTTTTGTTCTTATTTAAAATAGATAACACATTGATAATTTCATTTGCCAAATTAAAG